GATGGGAAAGAAAATGAACTGCCCAATCAAGAAACCAGGAAAATTTTTACCATGGAGCGCACTTCTATCCTTTTTATCTCCTCGGCAATTCATACTTCTATAAGTGAAGCACAACAACCACAACAACAACAAAAAAAGGGGCAAGATTTATAAGGCAATAACAGAATGATAGAAACAATAGAAGAAGAAACTCAAAATAGGTGTTTCAGAAGCTTTGATTCCATGAAAAATAGGGAGGCAAAGAAGAAATAAACATAAGAATTATGGATCAAAAGATAAGAAGACTAGAGTAAGCAGAAAGGGAAGAGAATTAAGGAAGTGAATGAAGGAATGAAATTTGTTTTGGGAGAAAGGGCTAGAAAAAAGAAAAGACTAACAAAAGAAGTTGATGAGGAGGTGAGGAAGGCAGATCTTACTTGACTACTTACCTGAAGAAAAGAGGAAGAATTAGATAATGAGATAAAAGGAAAAAAGAAAAGAAAAAGAAATGTGTAAGTAAAACTCCAAAACTAGGGGAAAGAGTGACAAATAGGGATGGAGGGAGCTGGAAGAAAATTGAGGGAAAGAGAACCTGTGGGGATGAAGATTCCTTAAAGTAGAGTAAACAAAATTAACCAAAGAGAGAAAGTGCTATCTTTACAGAGAAAGACAACAACAACAACAAGAGCCACTGCAACTCTTAGTTAGGTGCTGGAGTGGAGCAGGGTGGGGAAACAATGTTAGAGACAAGTGAAGAAAAGTATGTCTTTAAATGTGAATAGATTAAACAATTCAATGAAACAAGAGTAATGAAGTGAACAAGAAATCAAAACCCACTGGATGTAGTGACTCATGTGTAATTCCAATCATCTTGGAGGTGGAGGCTGGTGGATGTCTTGATCTTGTAAGTTCAAAATTGCCCTGGACTAAGCCCATTGGATATCCTCACTAAGTGTTAACGAGGCACTGGGAGCTAGAGGCCCACGAAGTTGCCCAAGGAGAGATGACCTGTCTCAGCTTAGAAAGGGAGCAGTCTAAGCTCCCATGCCCATAAGAAGTGACCTCAGATCCATGAGTAGTCCCTATAATCTTAGCCTAGATGAGATAAGGACACAGTCTTTAAAAAAAAAAAATCTCGCAATCAGTTCCTTACATGAGGCACACTTAAAAAGCAGAGATATAAACAGAATAAAATTGAAGGACTTGAACAAAACTCATTTGGCATCGAGTGAATCTAAAAAAAATCTAAAAAAAAAGTAGCAGTAGCAACCGAGACAGCAATCATGCTATCAGACAGAGCAAAAAAAATGTGCACAACTAAAAAAGATAAATAAGGAAACTACACTTAAAAAAATGTAGTTAAAAAAACTACATTAAAAAATTCTCCCAGATAACAAACCAATGTTAGTGTTAATCTTGTATGCTCCCAATGTTAGCATGTAAATTCATAAAGGCAAAATTAACTGAATAACAAGAAAACATAGTATAATACAATAATAGCATCAGATTTTAATGTCCTCTCTCAATTTTGGACAAATATAACAGAAAGATAAACAAAAGGGAAAATACAAAGTTGAACACATTGTAGGAGAAACTAGAAGTACGAGACTTATGGCATCTTCTAAGTGGGAAAGTGAAAGAATATACATGTTTTTCAGTACCATATTGAATGTTTACAGAAAATGATTAGATATTAGGGCACAGAGTTGTAGAAAATAAATATAAAAAGGGATAAATAGTAAACCATCCTTTATAGACCATAACGGTACAAATAGTAGTCAGTTCAAAGATCACAAATGATGTAGACCCCAATGGAGACAACAATGAAATCCTAGATAATGAGTAGACCAAAGAACAGATCATAGAGACAATTAATAATTATGTGAAAGAGAATGATAACGATGAATGAACATGTTACAGTTTCTAGTATATAGCTAAAATAGTCCTTAGGGGAAAAATTATATCCCTGAAAACATATAAGAACACAATAGAAAAGGAGAGAATTAAGGAAGGAAATGTTTATTATCTACACCAGGTACTGTGCTGACCTCTTTACAAATTTTGTCTCATTTGTTCCTTACAACAACCCTGTGAAATAGGTACTATTATTATCCCTATTTTATAGTTGAACAAACAGGCAGAGGGAAAATGACGCACAGCTACTATATGTCTGAAGCTGAATTTGGACTCCATGCCAAATGTTCTGTCCATTGAGTCCCTTAGCAGCCTCTATTGAATTGAATTTACATTACAAAAAAATTAGGAAGCCAATGCAAAGAAGAAATAAACTTAATTGCTATTTTTCAATTACATGATTTTCTACTTGGGAAATCAGGGAATCAGCAAAGATACTAATCAAGGCAATAGCTTCAGCAAAGTTGCAGGCTGCAAAATAAACCCTCAAAAGTCAACTGCATGTCTATATAATAAAAACAAAATCCAAGATTATTTTTCAATAATAGAGAAATCTCATTCCAAATTACTACAAAATACTTAAAGAATCTGGGAAGCAATATACCAAAGCACACAGAAGACTTCTATAGATTAAATTACAAGGTGCTCTTTAACAATTTAAATAGCTTGAGGAATATTCAGTGCTCAGTCTGGTACATATCAATTTTAAAATGACAATACTACCAAAGTTAATTTATATTTTTAATGCTATAGCAATTAGAACTTTATCAAATGTTCATTTGGAAAAACAAAACATCTAGAATATTAAGAGAAATTATGGAAAGAAGTAAGGGACAAAGGGGAAATAGCACTTCTGGACCTCAAACTATACTATCAAGCAATAATCATCAAAACCATCTGGCATTGGTTAAAAAGTAGAGAAGTAAATCAGTGGGACAGATCAGACAAGGGAGAATTTGAAACAATGGAACTTAATAACCCAATGTTTAATAAATCATTAAACATAAATTACTTAGGAAAGTATTCTCTGCATGATAAAAACTGCTGGGAAAACTTGAAAGTGGGTGGGCAGAAATTAGGCTTAAACCATCACTTTACACTGTATTCCACAATACATTCTAAATGTATCTGACTTTAATATTAGCACTCATACTATTAAAAAATGAGGAGAGAAGTAGTTCACACATTTCTCACAGTTGTGGGGTAGAAGATGTATTCTTAATTGAACAGAATAGAGATAATTACAAAAAGTTAAGTAATTTTGATTACATGAAAAGCTTCCATACAAACAAAATTAGTGCATCTAGGATAAAAAGGGAAGCAGTCAAATGGGGGAAATATCTTTGAATCATATTTCTCATGTAAGAGTTTGGTAAATCAGATACATAGGCAGTGTTTTATATATAAAGATGAAAATCCCTTCACCTAATAGATAAGTGGTCAAAGGATTAAACAAACAGTTCTCGGAAGAAAACAAAAAACTACCACATGAAAGAATGTTCCAATCACTAATAATGAGAATCAGAAGATTGCTGATGTTTCACTTAAAATTGGAATAGTTAATGTGGGAGGGGAATTGAGGAGATAGGCTCACTAGTGCATTGTTGGTGGAACTGTGAATCAGTAAAACCATTTTGAAAAGCAATTTGTTATTATCCAAATAATGTGACTAAAATGTTCATACCCTTTGGCCCAAAGTTTCCATTACTGCGTTTATTACAATAAAAAGAAAGGCCTCATATACATTAAATATTTATAGTAGCTCTTTGTGGTAGCAAAGTAAATGCTCATCCATTTGGGAATGGGTAAATGTAATAGAATATTGCTACATTGTAAGAAATGTCAAATATGATGAATTCAGAGAAGCATGGGAGAATGTACATAATTGGATACAGAGAGAAATAAGTAGTGCCAAGACAACAATAAACACAATTAGTATAACAATGTGAATGGAAATAATAATCATAAAGCAATCAAAAATAAATGTTGCAAAACTACAAAAAACAAACATTGCCCAAAGAAGATATAAGAGAAGATACTCCTATCTTACTTCTTTACAGAAATGAGAGGCCCATTGGTATGGAACAATGTATGTTTTCAGACACTTGATGAAATGATAACTTTTGCTGATTCTTATTTTCTTTTTCCTTTTAAAAAAAAATTTTACAGCGTGTACCTTTGGGAGAGGGAGATACTATGAGAAATTCTTGTGGTGGTAAAACAGAACAAAGAAAAACCCCAAGATATCAGTAAAAAAAGAATAGTTTATCTGTTTGAATTTCTGTTGTTACAGTATTATAAAATCATATTCTATTTGGAAACTCCTACCAACAAAAGTTACTATGTATTTTAGATCAAGTTCTAAATTAATATCTTTTCTTATGTCTTTTCCTCCATTATTTCAAGTCCTACTGTAGTTTAAATAGTAATATAGACACTAAGGTAATTCTTTAAACTTCTTTACAATTATGTAACTCTAAATGATTGATTCAACTTTGTCATTGCACTGCAGTTATAATTCCTTTTGCACACTTGAATTGAATGACACAGTAACTTAGTTACCTAAGAATAACTGGGAATAAGCAAAAATTTAATTTAAAATGTATGTTTATTGGGCAAATTGCTTGATTTGCCATTGATTTTAAAAATCTGAAATAACAATGAATGTTTTTGCTATTAGGGATTTAAAAGAACTAATAATCTATTTTTCATGATAATTATCTAATGTTGTAGTCATAGAACCTAGGCTCAAATACTGTCTCTGCTCCCTATTACTTATAAGACCTTGAATAAATTGCTTCATGTTTACTGGCTTTTGTTTTTTGATGTAAAAGTAGTGGGATTGGGCAGTCTCTAAGGTCCATTACAGCTCCACGACCTATCATTTTTTGTATATCTTTTAAAACATAGACATGCAATCAGTAAAATTTGTCAATCTATGTAAAACTGTATTTTCATTTCATCCTTTACTCTGTTGATCCTGCTACAATTTTAATACGGGAATTATCACTGTTCTAAATTTATATATAACTATGAAACCCTAAATATTGATATTAAATATTAATATTGTTTGAACTCTTTTTTATTTCTTGTAATTGTTTTTATAGAACCAGCTGCTGAAACAATTTCATCTAAAAAATCAGAAGAATCTTTTTATAATGATAGTTACAATCCTTTTAAAGAAGTACAGGCTCCACAGTACTTGAATCCGTTTGATGAGCCAGATCCTGAACCTGAAACATTTGTAACTATAAAAGATTCTCCTCCCCAACCTACAAAAAGGAAAAATTTAAGGCCTGTGGATATGAGCAAATACCTTTATGCTGATATTTCCAAAACTGAAGAAGAAGAGTTGGATGAGTAAGTATAATTCACTTTAAAATTACTATTGGCTATTAAGTAGTCTCTTAC